GCACATATAAGAATGATACGGGATCTGATAGAGCTCTTTGTCTTCCTTGTCCTCCTGAGGAGCTTCCCCACCGTGCAACCTATATATCTGTTCGAGGTATCTTTGAATTTGTGTGTTTTAAATAGATTATATGTTAATAAATTAAAATGTTTATTATTTCTCTAGTTTCTTGTGTTATTACAAGAGTCTAGGATTTCTGATGAATTGATTTATAAGGGCTTCTGCTTGCTCTCTTTTGCAGGTGGTGTTGTTGAAAGACCTTGTCCTTACAAGTGCATTTCGGACAGATATCACATGCCACACTGTTATACAGCCCTTGAAGAGTTAATTTATACATTTGGTGGACCTTGGTTATTTGGTCTCCTGCTTGTTAGTCTCCTCATTCTCTTAGCTCTGGTGCTTAGCGTTGCCCGAATGAAATTTGTTGGGGTTGATGAGTTACCTGGCCCAGCTCCCACTCAGCAAGGCTCCCATATAGATCATTCCTTCCCTTTTCTGGAGTCGTTGAATGAGGTTTATTAGATTCTGCATACTGATATTAGTGTATTAGGATAATGTCTCACTTCTTGTTTATGGATCATTGATTGCCATTGTAATTCCTCAACTTGCACCACATAGAAAGGGGGAAAAACTTAATTTGAACTTTTGAAGTGCTATTGCCTTTTCAGGTTTTGGAAACAAACAGAGTGGAGGAGTCCCAGAGTCACGTGCATAGAGTGTATTTCATGGGTCCTAATACTTTCAGTGAACCTTGGCATCTGCCTCATACTCCTCCAGAACAAATAAAAGAGATTGTGTAAGTTAAACATCTTTGCAATTTTTCCTGTTCAACTGCTTTGCTAGTGGCATATAACATCTCTGATGTTTCCCTTTCATGGATTTTTAGTAGTATACTGTATCATTGTTGATGCACTTCACTTGGCAGATATGAGGGTGCATTCAACACGTTTGTGGATGCGATTAATGCAATAGCTGCTTACCATTGGTGGGAGGGCGCTATACACAGCATCCTCTGTGTTCTTGCTTATCCTCTTGCATGGTCGTGGCGGCAGTGGCGCCGAAGAATAAAATTGCAAACATTACACAAGTTTGTTCGATCAGAATATGATCATGCATGCTTACGTTCTTGCCGTTCAAGGGCTTTGTATGAGGGGCTTAAGGTTTGTATTTTACTCTTGATTTAATTTCAATTGTATTGCCTTTTCTTTTACCAGGTCTTCTACCATGCAACCACTATTTGTTTTTGTTTTTTGAGTTCCTTGCAAATTGTTCAGTGGTGATTAAATTTTACGGTCATGGAGTTTGACATTGTTTAATGAACATACTAGAGAATAAGCTCACTGAAAATTTTAAAGACCAACTATAAGCCATGGATTATTCTATATCATGATATAGATGTCGGTATTTGGTGCTGAATGCAGTTATTCAAAGCATGAAATACATCATCTATTGAACCATTGCCATACCTGAGTGTGTGGTTGTTTTGAATCAAATATTTTTTTAGGCCACTAAACAAAGATTTGGGATAAAAAAAATATAGGTTAAAATTTTTTTCTCGTGAATGGTTGAAGAAAATTAGCAGATAACGAACATCTCTAGCGTCTAATGGACATTGTTTTGGGTGGTTTGGATAGGTGCATAGGGAGGAGGGTTGAGGTTTTCTTCTATGAGGAGATTTATTTATTTATTTTCCCTATACATGTCAAGTTGTGAAGATGTATGTGTATCTTGTGCCTATTGACATGTTACATGTTATGCTTTCAAACTCAAAATACTTGTAGGTGGCTGCAACATCTGATTTAATGCTAGCATATCTGGATTTTTTTCTTGGAGGAGATGAAAAAAGAAATGATCTTCCACCTCACCTTCCTCAAAGGTTTCCATTGTCTATTCTTTTTGGAGGCAATGGAAGTTATATGGCTCCTTTCTCACTACAAAGTGACAACATTCTTACCAGTCTTATGAGTCAGGTCTACTCTTCTTTTTTTTTTTTTGCACATTTATGGTTGGGGAGGCAAAAAAGAAATTTGAGTTATCTTCCAGATTTTAGGTATGATGTGATCCCTATTAACTCTTGTACCTCCTGCAGTTGGTCCCACCTACCACTTGGTTTCGACTGGTGGCTGGTTTGAATGCACAATTGCGCTTGGTTTGTCATGGACGGCTTAGAGTAACATTTAGACCCATCATTCAATGGCTTGAAACTCATGCTAATCCTGCTTTGAGAATCCATGGTGTATGCATTGATCTTGCCTGGTTTCAGGCCACTCCATGTGGCTATTGCCAGTATGGACTTTTGGTGTATGCTGTTGAAGAAGACAATGAGCCTACATCAATTGGATATGCTGATGGAGCAGTCAGAACTAATCTACTTTCAAGGTAATTTTGCTTAGGTGTGTCTGTTCTATTTTCTTAGAACATGACAGTTGAGTTAGAAGTGATAAGAGTGCTGGAAAGAAGAAATGTTTTGAATTTGGCCATTTTGCTGTTTCTAGAGCAGATAGTGGAAAAATTATAGAAATATGAACTTGTGCAAATCAACAATGTCATTCAGAGTGAATTGAATTCAAATACAAGGAGTGGAGTAGTTTTATATCCATGGTATCCAGCATTACTCATCAGAACTGGACATCATTTTAATTTGACTAGGTCAGACAAATATGTAAATAATAATAGAGGTATGAGCTTTAGTCATTATAAGCCAATTAACTATATAGCGTGTTATAGAGACGGATGCTGGATATGAAGTGTTTTTCTCTTTTTATCATGGGGAATGGCTTTGTGTTAAGAGTTCTGGTTGTAGTTAGCAAAGATTAAAAGCAGATGTGGCAAAATTATGTACAGTAGTGTGTGTTGACTAATTTCCTTTCATGTTTGGTTTGTAGAGTGAAGAGCTCACCAGGGGGAAGTCTAATCTGTCATCCTAGAGATGATGTGCTTTTAACCCAAGGTTGTCATATCAATGAAGGTTATATGAGGCAGAAGAGAGGTTATGGAGGGCTTATTGATACTAACAGCTTACAAATGCTTGAAGAGAAGAGAGATATGTTTTATTTTCTCTCTTTTCTAGTTCATAATACTAAACCTGTGGGTCACCAGGTAGCTCCTATGAATTTCAATTTAGTAAGAGTTTTTGTCTTGTAGCTTAATTAAAAATTTAATCCTTTCTTCTATTTAACCATTGCTCTTGTTTGGTTGCAGGATCTTGTTGGCTTAGTCATTTCTATGCTACTTTTAGGAGATTTTAGTTTAGTCTTGCTTACTCTTCTCCAGTTGTATTCGATATCCTTGGGGGATGTTTTTCTGGTTTTGTTTATTTTACCTCTTGGCATCCTTCTTCCATTTCCAGCTGGAATCAATGCTTTATTCAGTCATGGACCCAGGCGTTCAGCAAGCCTTGCTCGTTTTTATGCTTTATGGAATGTTACATCATTGATTAATGTTGTAAGTTCCCATATCGACCCATGTCATGATTTGAGTAAATTCTGGTAGTTTCTTTCATATACCTGAAAAATATGTTTCCCCTGTTTCCTCTACTTTAGCTGGTAATACATACAAAAAATGCTTATTATTAATTTTAGATTAATTGCTCATGTGCCAAGCTCTGTTGAACAGTTGGAATCAACTTGGATTTTCTTTTAGATGAAATAATAATTACTTTCTCATCTTTTGCCAGGGGGTTGCATTTCTTTGTGGGTATGCTCACTATACTGGTCAGTCATCACCAAGTAAGAGAATTCCAAACTTTCAGCCGTGGAATATGTAAGTTAATGTTTTGGCGGTAAAAATGCTGACATCTAATCCTGATACATGGACTTGATTAACTTTGGTTGTTCACCATTGCTTTTTTCATGGCGGTTGTGGATGCAGGGATGAAAGTGAATGGTGGATTTTTCCAGCCGGACTGGTCCTCTGTAAAATGTTTCAATCTCAACTTATAAATTGGCATGTTGCAAATCTGGAGATTCAAGACCGCTCATTGTATAGTAATGATTTTGAGCTGTTCTGGCAGTCATAACAAGATAATCTTCCACATTAACAAGGTTCTTTTGTTTATTTCGATACTTGTCCTCTTGTGTATGTAACTTGAGAATACCAGGGGAGTTACTGATACAAGGTAGAAATAGACACAGTTTAAGAAAATCAAAAGAAAATATATAACAGAATGAGGAGTATTCATTCTTGTAATTCTGACCTTTTCTTTCTTTATAAATTTTAGGAATTATAATGTAAAAAATGTGACAGCATTCGCAAAATCATGATTATAATTTTTTTATGTAATTGTTTCTTTAATTTAATTGTTTTCTTTAATTCAATTTATTTATTGTGGTTTAAAGAGTCAATAAATTGGTTCATTTTCTTTTACTTTAGTCAGATGATAAGAGTTGCTCTGGGGGGTTGGGGGGAAGAGAGCATAGAACAATTTTATTTGCCAATGGCACAATAAAGTATCAAAAATTAGTTATACAATTTAGACTGCGAAAAACCAACCCAACAGTAAAGAATGGGTCTTTTAATGTTGAGAGTTGTTTCCAACATTTAATTAAATTTTATTTTATAGTTTGATATGATTCAAACTGTAAAATATGAAACTTACAAAATAATCATAAAAAAAGGGAGAGATTTGAATTAGTGGTCAATTTCTACTTTTAACAGAATATTTTAGTTTTTATTCCAGTTTTACTTCTAAAAAATACTGAAATCCGTCCATCATGTTGAAATTTGAAACTCCAATTTACACACTGATATGAAGCTAGTCAAGTAGAGGAAGAAAGAACACGCTCAGGCAGGCAGAATCACTCTTTGTTCAGTACTTTGGGAACTTTGATATATGGATCATCATAGCTTGGGACAGAAGTTCTAATCGCTTCCCTGTTCAGAAAATTGAAGTTTAAAATATGCATTTATACAATTCAGGTGCTTCAAAATAAACAGGAAACATGAAGAATCTCATCTCACCTATTCTCGAATGTTTCTGGAATATCTTCACGAGCATTTTCATGTAATGACTCTGCAAATATAAGAGCCTTAGAAACAACAAACTAGAGCTAATTATCATGTGCTATGATCTGCTTGACTTTGATTTTATTTTTACAAAATAAATGATTATTCATATGGCATGCAATCACTTCACAATCACCTGATATGCCAGCCTAGCCGAGAAGAAAAGGAATACAGATTTTCTATAATGAAGCTACATAGGATAGATCCCCATCCATCCCTGGCCCCATGGTAACTTAATCCATCTACTGATCTTGTTGGCAGAGTTGAAGTCAGTTCAGCCAAGGGGGAGATGCCAGTTAAACAGAACAGAATCCCATTCGTGTACCGAAAATGACAACCATATCTAGTATCATATATTTACAGTTTGATAGTTAATTTGCAGCTTCACACAAGGCCCTTGTGATTTGCTTAAGTAACCCAATCCTATGTGAATTCTGCCCTGTCAAAACCTTGTACATGGCTGACTAAGACGGTCAACACTATTAACAAATGCCCTATATCAGTGACTCAGAGAATCCCTCAATTACATTCCTTTCATTTTGATGGTTACCTTACTTCTGTTGCATCCATTGTCTTGCTATGAAATCTAAGCAATAACGGTATACCAACAGAACAAATATTTTCGCAAAAGAAAACTTCGCACCTGCTCTAATGGCAGGCTCAACACTGTCAAGATCAACCACTTGCAGTTGTCCAAACCTACAACGCGAATAAAAAACCAAGCCAAAACATTGTTCTTGTTCGTCATTTTAAGTCAGAAAGTACTAAGAATTTCATCATCTAAATAATGTAAAAGGTTATAAATTCTCTAATTTTCAGTTTTTCAAAAAGAGAGGATAAGTGAAATTTTCAGTTAAAATAACCAAAGCTGTTGATAACATGAACCATATTAATAAAAAGAGGGGGAAAAAAAATCAATACATATACTTCAAGCATAACCAAACAACTTAAAGCAGCCACATATGATTTCAGCAGAGTTTCTATTGCAACAAACCAAACACATCTTTTTTCTAAATCATGAGATGAGATTAACCCCAAGAATAATTACAGTAAACCCTAATTAAAACCCAGAATAGGAATCTATTTTTGAGACATTTTATAAAATTCTTACTTCATAGAAGAGATATAAAAGCAAATGCACTGATTATGAATTCAAAAGTTTCCATGAAATTTATGCAGAAGCAATCCATATACACTAAGCAGATTAACAATTTCATTTCTCTACAGATACTAAAAAAAAAAAAAAAAACGTAGCAATACCAGTCTATCACTTGTTGAATTTTTGGAGCAAATTCTTCAACCTGGAAACAGATGAACGGAGATAAAAGAAAAACGGAGCCAATCCATGAAAAGAGAGGAAGAAATACAAGAAATAATAGAAACCTCGTTGGGGGCGAGTGAAATTCGAGCTGTTTTGGCCAAATGGGTTACATCTGGTGGCGGAAGAGACGAGGCTCCCCCAGTTGCCTTTGTGGAGCAATATCGGATTGTGGGATTACTGTTTTTACCAAGAAAAAACAGTTTCGATGAAGAAGAGCTGCTCCTTGAGCTGAGGTTGAAGAAGCAGCAGCAGCAGTAATAAGGGGACAGTCCTCTGAGCATAAGTGAAGTTCTGCTCGCCATTTGGGTACTGCTAATCCTCGGCCAGATATTGGGTTAAATAAATGGAAGGAGATACCGATATGTCTATTTTTTTGATGGAAAATTTAAAAATGCTATGGTATTTACACATGCTTTTTATTTTAACTTATAATTTTTTTTTAGTTTAAATTGTATTAAATTATGCACTTGGCCTAGAAACCCAATTACGAGTGCATTTTTCCATCGTGTTTCGAACCCACCTTATGTGAAAAAAGTTCAAAAAAAATATTGTATTAAATTATAAAATATTAATAAATAAATAATAAAAATTCTAAAATAATGATTGTTAATTTTTTGTTTAATAATTAATATTTTAAGTTCGATGCAATTTTAAATAATATAAAAATTATTAAAATCATTTAAGTGAAGCTAAATAATATTTCTCTTTTAGTGATTGATATTGTATTCTTTTTTAATGGATTGTTTGGCTATCTTTTAAGTTTTAAATATGCTAATAAATCACAGGTAAAATGCATTAAGAGATTA